GATGGACATAAATAGATAATTTTAATTCTTTAAAGGTACCAACCTCTTTTCCTGCCTTAGGGCCTTTGTGGTTATTACATTTGCCTAGCATATTCTCACTTGTCCCCACTCCTTACGTTGCCTATTTGGTATATCCTTAACAGTTGAAATAATACCACTTCCAAAAGGCTTCCTATGACCATTTAGTATGAGTAGCTCACAGTTGATCTCTCTTTTTTTTTAAAATTAATCAATATTTTTTATTTTGGTATTGTGGGGTACAGTTTAGGGTTAGGTATACAAATATGTTTTATTCAGGCACCCTTGTTGATAAGGGGTGTCTCCCCGGCCCCAGACAGATATTTACTACCGTTAATCCCACCTCCCTTCCCCTCCTTCCCCCACAGTTGATCTTTTAAAAATCACTTAAAACTACTACTTGGTTCTCAATTTTGTTTTCTGTTTTCCTTTCCTCACCCAACTAGAATATAGACCTTGAAGAGCAGGAACCTTGCCCTTATTTTTCCTGCACCTAGATCCTAAGTGCCTAAATACTTTTTGGATATTTAAATATAATGTAAAGTATGAAAAAATTATCCATAATCATACTTTCCAAAGATAAGTTGCTACTGATAGTATGGTGTATAGTTTTCTGTGTGTGCTTGCTTATACACAAATGCCTATCATACTTTTATAGTATATTTCCATTGGATCCAAAAATAAATATTTTTTATTATATATATTTGGCAGTGGGGGAGGAAAGGGCAAAAAAAAAAAAGAATTATTTTTTGGAGGACAGGCTCCTTTTAATACAGGCTTCTCCTGGTAGGTCAGTGTTCTAAAAACCTATTGGTATAATCGTACTAGCTAGCGTTATTGTGAGAGACTGTGAATTTTTGGGGGGAGAGTTCTTTCAACACATTTGCCTGTTTCATGATGGGTGATGCACCTGCCTACACCACACTGGGTGTTCAGCAGTTTTTGACCAAAATTGGCATGGCCCCTTTGTCCCACTCTCCCTATTCACCTAATCTTTTTTTTTTTTTTTTTTTTTGAGTTGGAGTCTCACTCCAACT